TTCCTCCCTCTATTCTGAGATGCATAATTTCCTCCATGTCTTTGTATAAAACGACTGGGTACATCTTTCCCATCTAAGCATATGGATGCCTTTACTGAACTGTGCCCTAGCACATTTCAGACTTCCTACAAATATACCAACAGTCTTGAAAAGTTTCTCCTTTTCATGAACAAAATCCACGGGCTTCTATCTTCTATATGGTCAATTTCTAATAAATTTTACAGAAAGGCTTTATCCCTCAGTCCTCAAGTTTGATGCTATAGTATTCAAATGATCCAAGTGGAAATTATCTCATTTAAAGAGCCTGATCTTTACACACACATGCCTTATTTGATATCATTGTTCTCTTACAGTCTCCCCATAAGTGTGTATTATGTTATCTCTTGTCTTACAATATATTCTCTTGAGAAACAGTGAAAGGGAAAACTAATTTCCAGTTCTGTGCTTTTTTTAAAGACCTCTCCAGATGAGGTCTTTGTTATGGCTGCAGGCCCCAGGTGCTACAGTTACATGATATTATTTTATTAGAATCACTGATATTATAGACTTTGCAAGAAAGAGGGAAGTGTAATTACCAAATTAAGCAGGAAGATGGCACAGTCAGTGAGGAATGAAGTAAAAGAAAATAGTTTAAGGAAAGGGAAAGCTGTTTTTATATTTTATAAAAAACAAGAGATTAGTATTTCAACTTCTTTTTCCCCTTACAAGTTGAGTAGTCTCCCCCATGCAAAAGCCTGAAAATGAGCTCAGCATGAAGACAGTATTTTGCACATGCAAATCTATTGTAAATCATTTTTAAAGGATTTTCACCTTTGCTCTATGTAATTAATTATTGAAACAATAATTCTCTTACTGTTCTTAGCATTCCCACTGAGTGTGAAGTTCCTGAACTATATATTGTACATGAATCAGTTTTGAATTTGACACTAGTGAGATAAGAAAGTAGAGGTGGATGCTTAAGAGATTTCATGCAGGCAGGAAATACTGATCTGTTGCAGAACAAAAAAATATTTCCCACTGTGATAGGTAGGCTGGAGTCTATTTCCAAACTATAGCAGAAGTCTCCTTCTTAATGCCACTAATCATATTAGCTAAATATCACAGCAGGTAAAATGAGTTTTCAATAACACTGCTGAGTAATTTTCCAGCTAGTTTCATGCTTGGGATAATCTTATTTTTTTCTTTGTAAGTTTTGCATGGATATACTGGAGCAATTATATTCAGGCATTTGGAAACTAAGCTGGCACAGCAGCTTGCCAGTTTGCCTTAGTGTGACCCACTGTGGTGTTTATGTTCTGCATGCCAGTTGTTATTAGCTCACACGTGCATGGAATACCATTTTTCTCTTTATTGGTTTATCTTGGGGGATGTTTTGTGGAAGGGACAGGATCTGAATATTAAGGTCTTCAAAACAGGTATTTATTATCCATACACAGGAAGTTTCATTCATTCCTACCATCTTATTTTATTAATGAACATATAGATATCTTGGAGGAGCTTAAGGATTAATAAATAATGGAGGAAATAATTGCAATTTTCTTCTGAGCAATCAGAGTTATCACAGTTTTCTCAGTGTTTTATAAATATTTTTCCAATCTGAAGCACTTCTTCAATCAAGCCAGATTATAACTGTCCACCACAAGACAGCCTAAATTTCTTGGTAAATTCCACCAGTGCAGGCACACAGTGCTGGGTGTCTTCCTCTAATACTGTGGCTACATCTGTCTCAGAGGCAGGGCTGACTTAAATGTCTCCTTACTTACCCAACATAAAGCTTCCTCCATTCTATTCCTTCAGCTGGGCACACTGAGTCAGCACAGAAAACAACCTAGGTCAAGGAAAAAAAAAAAAAAAAGATATTTTTCCTTTATCCTAGCCTGGCGCATACTCTGTCTCATAAACAACAGCAGCTGCGCAACACAGGGAACAGTGCACAGGTGGAACAAGAAGGCAGGGATGGCAAGGTAAGGGCTATTTATGCCTTCAAAACTGCATAAAAAATGTCCAGGGATACAGGACTCAAAAAGAAAGAAAAGATAAATTTGTCCTTTATTTTACCCAGATCTACCCAGGATTTAAGTTTTCTTTACAAATATAATATCCTAATGCAAATGAGGAAATAGAAGCCAAGCCTCATTCTGCACCAGATCATCAATCAGCAAGATTATCTACCTTATACTAGATCACAAAATAGAGCAAACCCAAGATGAGGGATTGTGAATGCTTTGAGGTACACTTTTTCTGCCTTTTCTCTATTCAGTGCAGAAAGCAGAGAGCCCTGCACCATGTTAGGAAAAAGCAAGTCCTAGTGGTGGAGCAGAGGGGTGGACAAATTGCCCAAATCCTCTTGCCATTTTCAAGAAGTAAATCTGCAACTGCATGTGAGGGAATGTTCTCCCTTGGTTCCAGTCCTTAGAGACATCTTATATCAATGCCTCAGCTTTAACTAAGCATGCCAAAAAAGTGCCGGAGCATAAGGTTTAAGAGGTAACAATTGCAGGGCTAGTAAACATGAACTAGGTTTGTGAGTTGTATTAACTTCAGTGAAAAACATCCAGGACTTGGGAAAGGACTAATTATACAATAAGAGAGGATTTTTTTTTCCAGTCTAATGTTATTCAGCCTCTCTCCACAGAGTCCGTGAAGTCTCAATCTAATCATATAGTTCATGTCCAGAGTCCTCTGTAGTACCTGGCAAAAATGGGAAGATAATACGTTTTGGCCTAATATCCCTCATCATATGCAAGGAGATACTTAGACAGAAGTCTGCAAAAGTTCAATCAAAGTCAATACACTTTGAAATACACTATTAATATGTATATCTCATTCATTTCGTATTATGGGTTAAATGTTAAAAGACAACATGTAGAAAATGCTTTAGGAAGTGAATTGAATATGTCTAAGCAGTTAAATTAGCAAGCATAAAGAAATGAAGAGATCAGTGTTGGGTGCAGAGCAGTTGAAATGAGCATTACTGCAGACACCAAACAGATAGAAGCTGTCCAGTCTTGACCCATACCTACAATTTGATCTAATGTGAGCCTGTAAACTAAAAACCCTAGTTTCCAGCAGATTTTTATCATGCTGATCTTTTCTATTGTAGCTGAGTTAGAATAAAAATACTTTTTTGTATACTAGGTCATCCATGCAGCAGAAAGAACAATATAAGTGGTAAAAACTTGAATCATTGTTTATGACTTACTAAGTCATCAGAGGACCAATTTGCCAGCTGTGAATAATATAATGTGTAGGTTTCTTAATCAATAAAAAAAAAAAATTACAAACAATAACTAGAAAGATTTTGGTTTGTTTTGCTCCCTTCCCCCAACCCCCACCCCCCAAAAACGTTTAAATCATTCATAACAGATTTGTCCTGGAGGTTCTGGTCTCTTATCTCTGCCTTAGCTCATAAATTATCCTTTATCCTCACTGAGGGCATTAATTAGATTCTCTATTTGGCTGCTGTTTTCACAAACCATATGAAAAGTTTGTGTCTTTCATATATCTACCTCTCTGTCTGATTCAGAAATTGGCCAATAGGTTCCAAAGTTATTAAGAAGAGAAAAATAAGAGTGGACACAGTGACATGCAACATGGTGACAGGAGCTTTCCTTTTGGAAACTAGACGAAAATATATGTTTGCATGTCCTAAATGCTGAAATTACATGGAAGGCAACTTTTCTGGGTTTCCGGTAGAAACGGAAACCAGATGTTTCAGGGTTATTTTTTCTGGTCCTTCAGAGAAGAGTTGCTTTGTCAGTAAGTTGCTTCCTCAGACACAGCTTGAGTTTTTTTTTCTGCTGGCATTCAAGTGCACTTAGGAGTGTGGGAACAGCCAACAAACCTTTCTCCATGATTTTGGAAACTCCTTATGAAAAACATGTTCAGCACAAATTGGTGTCTGCTCGTATTTTGAATTTGAAGTCAGTTTTTTCTTTCAAGTAAAGATGACCAAATCCTTAGCTTGTCTAAATCAGCACAGAACCATTCAGCAGCACTGTACTAATTTAAAGCAGTTGACAGTCCTTGTGTGTAAAAATGGATGAGTTCCCACACACATCAGATTTCATAGTTGTGCTGGCACTGTGTGGAAAGCACTTCTTGTTTGGATCTTCCTATTGTAATAAAGGAACTGCTTTTCTTTCCCCAGCCTGATGATTTGCTTCTACAGACAATCAGGTATTGATACCTGAGGAAAAGAGTGCAGGGAAAGTGACAGGGAAAGAAAGAAGGCCATACCAAAAAAAAAGAAACTGTTTTAACTTGTCTCTCCCTCACAACTATTTTAGGTGATGTTTCAAAAGACATAATACCTACTTTTATTTAAAAAATTTAAGAAAAACAAAGGAGGAAAAAATAAAAAAGAGAGAGAGAGAGAGAAAGAAATCTAGGAAAATAAACATCCTATTTGACTTTCTTCTGATGGGAAGATAAGAAATTCGATTTCATTGAGCATGACAAAAATCTGTTAATTCAACAGATTTTCATATGTTAGAGATGGCTAGCTCTAATTTGGGTTTAACACATTGAAGTTTGGAGAAGACTTATGCAAGAGCTTAATTTTGCATGTTGAAAATTATTAAAAGACGTCCTTACCATCAAGGAATCAGTTATTTAATGTTAACTGCTATGGTCATGAGTCATACAAAGATGTGTAAAAGCTGACCTAACACTTCATTTGCAGGAAAAGGACTGTAACTGGTAAAACTGAGGACACGGATGTTCTTGGAATCCGGGTCTTAATATCATTTCCAATGTCAATACATACTACAATAATTCTTTACTCTATAATGTGATAGGCCCTATCAATGTTTTTTTTCTGTCACTATTCATTTATTTTTCTAGTTCAAATATCACTAGGTATTACATACACAGATTTCAGGAGGTTAGTGCATTGTTTTTGTTTTAATACTTTCTTTACTTTTTAACTTGTTAATTTCCTTTATTAAGAAACAACTTGAAAACTGAAAGGGAACAACAGCATAAATTAAATGCTAAACTATAAACAACTGCAAAATGTTTACCAGGCTAATGGAAATACTACAATGGTAAAATAAAATAAGTTTAGGTAGATTTGACAATATTTAACAAGCAACAGGGGAAAATCTGAATCCATACACACAGGTAATAATAGGCACAAAGAAATAATTACTTTTGAACTTTTTCATTTATATTTAGAAGGAAGTACATATCATGTGTCCTAACAGATCCTTTACAAAGATCATTGCAGATACATATGAACATGGTGAAAAACAAACTCAAGTAGAATAAATCCTAGTTTAAGAAGTGTAAGGTCCTTGCAGGAATGTATTATTTATTTTGATTTATTCTACAATAACAGTAATCTTTTTATATATTTGTTACATGGCTAAAGAACATTACACTTGAATTTCCTGCTTCAATACAAAAGAGACATTGATATCCCTGCACCCTCAATAAAAATTATCCTATCCATATCATTAGGATCTCTCCCATGACTGTTATTTCATGCAAAGCTGGCACTCAGCTTGTTGACATTCTTGCTTGTTGATTTGGAGCCTAGCAGTAGGAAACAACCTTATGACTTTGATCCATACTTTTTGTATCCTTAGAGAGAGTCATGGGAAAACATACTGCACTGGTAGACTCCTTTTTATGACCATGGACATTCAGTCTGAATCAGCTGAACTTGCTTTTTAAAAGGTGGAGGCAACACTATGCCCCAGCTTACAATGACATTTTACAACTGCACACAGTCTGTGCTCATTTTAATATCTAAATAAAGTTTGAAAAATTCCATGAACACTGCTTTGGCAATGGCAAGACAAACTAAAGAAACTACAATTCCCCTGCCTAAGTTTTAGTGACCAAATTAAGCAGTCTGTAAAGTGAATTTGTATACAAGTACTGCTCACATTAATTAATTCCAAGCTTGTTTGTTTGTTTAGGTGAAATTAGCATTTCAGTAGCAAAAGTGTGAACATTATAAGAAACAATTTTGTATAGGAGACATAAAGTCTGCTGAAACTCTTACAAAAAATTTTGCAAGAGCACGGTTTCAGAAAGATCAGGAAAATTTATCTGAAAAATATTTCCTGGCAAATAGAAATAGATCTGTGTCTACCAACATCCAGGATCAGGTCCAGAACTAATGAGATTTTTTAAAATTGAAGGTAGAAAGCACAATCAAGCTAGGATAGGAAAGGTATACAGGTATCATTCTAAATTTAATTCAAATGCATACCTGTTACATCCAGCCTCCACTACCAGCTGTTACTGGAGACATGAGTTGGTCTACATATCTTTATCTGACTGTGTTATATCTATATGGCTCAATGCATCTGTCCTAGGGAATGATCATTCACTTCTGTGTCAGTCGCTGCAGAGTGCTTTCATATCCATTACTTGGCTGCCCCTGTTTAGAGCAGAGAGCAGAGAGTAGCTTCATCCACCCTGCATGTCAGGTGCCTCCATTTTTTAATGTGCAAATTTTTATGGGTTATTGTGTTTTTGTTTGTTTGTTTGTTTTTCCTAGTTCAATGTGTACAAAATGTGAGATCACCACTGAAGTCCACTAGCAGAGCAGTTATATGTCACATAATAAGGAAGTCATTGCACATTCTGGGACATGATGTGAAGGCGTTGGGGTTATTCTAGAGCAAAAAGCTTGCCACAAGTGCCAAAGAACCAAATTTACTGAAACCTCATTTATTTTTCCTGTCATGAGGAGCCTTCAGAATGTGCGATCCCCCAAACCATAGCTGGGTTTTGTCCCACAGAGAGCTGTTAGTGTATTTCAAAAGGAAGCCAGGGAGTGAATTCATAGTTCAAGACCTCAGCCCATTTAACAGTGAAGATGCACTCTATATGGTTCCTCATACAGATGGGCAAAGCAAATTGTAGATGTGAGAAGGAACAAGAAGATTTGGGACAGTATTCTAGTCATGTCTCTAAACCAGACGCCAATACAGGTCCTTTACCTCCACTCACATGTCCTTGTCCAGTTCATCTCTAAATTAAAAAGAAAAAAAAATCAAAATGATTTCTAAAGGGTGTGAATGGGTGCTCTGTTCAAACACTCATAACTAATGAGATCATATAGAGGTAGAGAGAAAAAAAAGAAAACTCATAACACTCCTTCAGAGTCTTGTCAGATCAAATTGTATGGACAGAATGGAAATTTATATCTATAAGTGCAATATCTCTAAATGGATATTAGATACCACTATGTAATGCAGAGGGATCAAGCATGACTAACAGTATGTTATGTGAAACTGCAGAATGAAACCACAAATGTAAACACTAAAATTTGCCCAAACAAGCACATCACTGCTGCAGACATGTTATTACTTCCCTGTATACTATTTACCAATGTCTAACTACAGTAACCATATATTTGTTTTGAACATGCATCTTTAGTGTTGCCTTAGCCCAGGTATTCCAGTAGCCCTGTCTGGAACAAAACCTCAGCCTAGATAAAACCTGTAGCTGGGAATTTTTAGAGAGGGACTTCATGTATTTGTGCAAAGCAGCGAGGCTCAGGACCTGACTAGGACTGTTGGTGGGTGACAGCAGATTAAGTGATACTTATAGTTCTATTCAATGGAACTCTTCAAGTAAGACTTTGCTCTCTACTGGGAACCTCTGTTTATACCAATTTGTTAAGCATAAAATAACATCAGTTATTTTTCAAAAATATTTTTCCAAGGTGTGGATTGACTACATTAGTGAATAAAAATCGGAGAAGGGAAGGAAAAAAAAGGGGGGGAAAGAGGGTTGATTGAAGCTAAAAAGTACATAAATCACTTCAGAAATATAATTTGCAAATTCATTGTGTGAAGTAATTAATCAAAGCATGGCTGAGTTATAGTACTTGAGAGACTTTGATCTGACAACTGAAAGAAATATAAAGAAACTACTGGGTATCAAGCTAGTGTTAGAACGCAAAACGTTTCTCCATGCTAGTTACAAGTTTAATTACTTCTTTTTTTTTTTTTTTCACTGACAGACCTAAATTAAAATAAATGGGCCACATCGAGACAAATTTTAGATGCAGGGAGTGCTTAAGAATATATTGTTCCCATAATATGAAAATGCCATGAAATATATTTATAAAGCTGTTCAATCTTTTAATTTCACTAGGAAATGCATTAAGAATTGAAAATGCAGTACATAAGTGCTTAACATTTTCTATTTTAGGTGCTTATTTTAGAGATTTTAAAGTGTAGCTTTTATTTTTACAATAATACATGTCTACCCAGATGTACAGCAACATGTGACAACAAAAATAGTTATGGTAAAACAGCAGAGAGAGTAGTCAAATATTAACTGAACAACCTTAATATGCTTATTCATTACACTCAGATACCAAGTTTCAGCCTGAGTAACACATGGAGTTTGTTTTGCAATCCATTTTGTCTTGAGATTGCTGAAAGTGGCTTGAGATGCTTTTGAAATAACTAAATGTACTTTCGGAGTAACTAACTGTAAGACTAAGAATAAAGTATTTCTTGTAAAATTTGTGCAAATACATGTTACAAATATTATATTTTTATGAAATAAATGACACTGTTGATTAAATAAATTATTGAGTCAGTGAGTACTGCTACCATACCCTGTGAAATACAGCTGTGGCTGGTCCATCATACTGGAATTCCTATCAATAATCATGCAGTCAGAAGCTGTGAATCGGCAGTCAGGGCCAACATTTCTAGTGATTTGTCTTTAAAAAAATCACAAAGGTGAAAAAAAAAAAGTCAGTGTTAGTTCGCCTGTGTTCTGGTTTTTAAAGCCATAGATGTTTATTGCCTATTCTCTACAAAAGATTATTGACTATTATATATTCAAACAAACAAATAAACAAACAAAAATCCAGACAAATAAATAGCAACGTATAAGCAACCTATAAGAGCATTCCCCTGCCATCCTAATCCTCACTGATAGGAAGAGGTCTTGAATTGCTCTTTAATCTCCAGGGCAATGATCTCACTCTTTCCCTTTCCTCTTTCTCATCGTCCCAAAGCTACCTTCCAATGTATTTCTCCATCTGTTTCACACAGTCTCTTACCTTCTTCTCACAGTTTTCTGCCCTGATTTATCTATAATCTGTATGTAGTGATCAGCAAAGACAACACATAATCACTTATGTTAATGAAGAAGTAGGAAGAAAATCCTCCTTTTTGTCCATTTGTGTAGCTAGCCAAATCCAGGTGCTTCATTGGCTGCTACTGCTGTTATTTAACCATTGCTTTTCTGCATATTCTACACACAACAGCAGCAAAGTAGCCTCATTCTCCTCTCTCTGATGAATAAGCTGCATGAATGATTATGCAATCTTACAGCAGTGGGCTCCAGAAACACTGTTTTATGTGTGAACCTGCAGTGCTTGTGGAGTTGTAGGAAAAGGTGATTTATGTAACAGAAGGAGAGTATTTAATGTGCAAGCACCTCTGGGAAACATACCCAAAAGCAAGGCAATCCAGAGGATGTAAACACCTTTTTCTATGTGATTCACTACTGAAATTATCATTAAGTAGGGTTGTTTCAAAGTAGACCCATTCACTTTTAAGCGTCTGAGTCTTTAAGGTCCCCAGCACCAGGGATGCACTGGCATCTTCAGGTCTTAACTCCAAAAAAGCTCACATGGAATATCAAGCCTGATGTGTGAGAACTAAAGCAAACAAAGTATGATCTTCCTTTCTGTAGACAAAACTGAAACAAAGTTCTAAAGCAATGAAATATCTCACCAGCAGTTCTAAGACACAATGCACTTTGCAAGTCCCAGACTCACTGTATCCTTCCTGAGGCCCTGCTTCCTTCCAGACATCGATGTTTCTTTCTCAGGCGCCTGGTCTCAGTTCTCAGACTCTGACTTGCTGAGTTCTCATGTCACCAAAACTTTTTTTTTTGCAAGCCTCTGGTTCCCAGAACTTTCCAAAGGCTGTCTCTATCGCTTGCAGGACTACAAAAGAGAGTAAAGCAGGGTTAAACAGGAAAATTAGAGCCTGTAAAGAAAAGAAAAAAGGAAAAAAAAAGGGGGGGGGGGGGGATGGGAGTGAAGGAAAAAGGAAAAAAATAAAAAAGGAAAATAGAAAAAGGAAAAAAAAAATATATAAAAAAAAAAGCAAAAGGAAGAAGGATTCTGGAAGAAGCCTTCCTTTGAAAAGGAAGAAGCTCTTGACTCCTTTGCTCTACATGAATTCATAAATGCAAAGAAGATTATGGAAGGCCATCCCTCAGATGGGAAGACTTCTTGTTCATATAGATTTCTTTAAAATATTTACTTATGTCTAAAATCCTCAGACATAATGAAAAATTTTCTTATTTCCTTGTCTTTCTCATGAATTCAGTGGGGGAGGAGGGGAGGAATCTTACAAAAACAGTTCTTCTCACACATGATGAGGAACTAATAGTGTACTTTTCCAGAAGAACTTCATCAGTGAAAAAAGAATTGCAAGGACCATTGAAAAATAAGACATAAGACAGTCCAAAACAACCTCAGTCACATTTATTGGAAATTCCTTCTTATGCATTTTCTTCAACACCTTACACAAAGGGAAGATTTTGTGACTATAGCATCTTCCCTCCTGCCTCTTTTCCATTTTCTTTGGATAAATGTGTTTACTGTGAGAAAACAGAAGAGAAGTGTTTGATTCAGAAGACAAATCTGGAGGGAGGGTGTAGAGGAAAGTGAAAAGCAGAGAGAAAGGGAGCTTTATGAAATAACACACTCAAAAAAAAATACAAAAAGCAAGAAAGGAGAAATGGTGAAATGCCATATCAAATGGTAGATATATATATATATATATTATAACAACCTAACTTTAAAAGATAATTTCTAAATGTTGCATTAACTCATGGTTGGAGCTTTATTTTGTCTGTATAACCAAAATGTAACTGTCATAAGCACTGGTACCTCAGAAGTCACTGCTTTTCATTTTGCAATCTTTTTATACATCACAAAGAGATATAATATTCTTCTCCATTGGATAAAACACTTTAAGTTTTTGTAAACTCCTATGCTATCTTAACACAAGTAATGTGAATGTTACGTATGTCTGCAGACAGATATATAATCATGATTTTCCATATATTGACATTCAAACTATGTAACCCTGATTTCTTACACAAAAGTGAGCAATGTTCCACAAAAGCAAGCATCTGTTTCTTTGATCACTTAACTTTACCAGCAGGTTGTTTCTAGAATCTTCTGTCCTCTAGTCTCTTTTGCTTGAAGGAAAATAAAAATTAATCATATGATTGCTAGGAATTCTTCTCCATTAGCAACTTTTGAGGCTCCTTGAAGTCGTTCATTAATTGAAATCAAATCATTAAAGATGATGCACACCATCAGCTATGGTTCTTTCTGAATTAGAAGCCTATGTGATACCGATAGCAAGCTTCATGAAAATGTCAAAGAATCATAGTGTTGGTTTGTGTTGGAAGCAACCTTAAAGATCAACTAGTTCCAAACCCCCTGCTATGGGCTGGCATGCCTCCCACCAGGCCAGGTTGCCCACAGCCTTGTCCAGTCTGGTCTTGAACATCTCCAGGGATGAGGCATCCACAGCTTCTCCGGGCAACCTGTTCCAGTGCCTCACCATCCACTGAGTGAAGAATTTCCTCCTAACATCCAATTTAAATTTTCCTTCTTTTAGTTTAAAACCATTCCCCCTTGTCCTGTCATTGTCTGCACAAGTAAAAAGTCACTCTGTTTTTTTCATAAGCCCTCTTTATGTAGTGAAAGGCTGCAATGTGGTCTCCCCAGAGACTTCTCTTCTCCAAGCCAAACATCCCCAGATCTCTCAGCATTTCTTCATAGGAGAGGTTCTCCAGCCCTCCGATCATCTTCGTGGCCCTCCTCTGGACAACACGCAGTCTGTAGGCTCAAAATTGCTCCATGGTCATTTCTGCTCAGACATGAGTGGCTGGTAAATGGTGGAACTGCAAATCTACTGCCAGCCCCCAGAAGATATCACTCAATTTCTGTACTACAGATGTAGTAATAAGTGAAAAGTGCTTGGATACAACCCCTTTTGATACCCTTCTCACTCATAGTTATAACCTGCTCCTCCTCAACTGCCTTCAGCTCCTCTTGCCTGAGAGCAATGAACTACTAATGCTATGTCGTAATTACTTTTCCTTGGGTTCCATTGTGTCCCACCTTGAATCTAAGCTGGTGATATTTCTTAAATCTGATTATCCAAGATTTTTTATTATTTTTTTTAATCTGAAAATACATGAGAAATTGTACAAATAAAATTCCCAACTTTTCTGTAAATTGCTTAGCATAGGAAATATTATGGTCCTCACCTTACAGGTAGAAAACTGAGAAAAAGGAAAATCAATGCCATAATCCCAAAATCAGGGGTTGGGAAAATGGGACTGTATGTAAAAGTTTTGGGCAGGATCTTCTTCTCTCCATTCTGTTAGAAGTTACACTTATACTTAAGATTGTGGAAATATACTTACTTGGCAGTAAAAAGTATTCTCTATGCTGGTATATCATAGTGCAGAAAAAAAATGGATGACATCAGAAAATTGTGATTTTGAAGTGTGATTTCTGCATGCACTTAAAAGTAAGATGAAACAGGAGGGGGAGCTCTCAGTACATCAGCCAACAATGAAAGCAAGCTCCAGCACAGCAGTTTTCCAAGCCAGGGAGAGGTGGATCAGCTCTTGCTTTGCTTTCAGCAGGAAAAAGGGAACAATTTTCTCACATTTAGAGTCTAACCTCTCACACTTAATGGCAAAATATTTTTCATAAAATTGCATCTTTTACTTCATCAAAAGCTTTCCTGCTCACTGGTAATATGTAGGACGTTGTTACATTACAAAAGAAAAGCTGAGCTAATTATCTCCTCACTTTTGCCTTTTTGATAAAATACACAAAATCTAACTTGGTTCAGCAAGCAACTATAGCAAACATCTAGAGAAAGAACACAGACAACATCTGTACCAAGTCAGAGATCCAAGAAGTGTTGTACAACTGATTTCTGCCTCGCCTTCTGTCTTAATTAGTTAGGTCTTTACTTTGTATTTGCAGCTCAGTAGGCAACCTTATCCCCTTCGACCTTATATGTTCAATACATACCTTAGTTTGTGATCTGCCAATGACAACATACCCACTAGAAAACAAATTTCCTCTTCACAGATCTTTCCTGATTTATTGCAAGATGCTTTACTCACTGAAATTGAAATCAAGTAGAGACACGTGGGATGTCTGAATAGGAAACAGCTAATTAGAGACTTGCTACACATACAAGTAACAGGGAAATGAGGTTAACTTTATAAGAAGAAAAAAAAAAAAAAATCAGTCAGGAATGATTCGTCCAGCCATTGTCATCTGGCAATTTCATAGCAGGTAAGAAGAGGTAAGAAGAGGACCATGCAGAAAGATTGAAAGGAAGGATGGATTAATAGACATAGAGCAGGCTAGACATAGAAAGGTAGACTGTAAATATTTTGAATCATCACCAATAATAAATTTATAGTAAACAGGATGATTTCTAGTGTAATATCCCTAGGCAAGCTATGTATGGCCCAGAAAAATACTTTAAATGGTTCTAAAATAATCTAATTTTATTTGTCTGGTAATTCAGCAAGTAACTCTGAAAGAAACCTTCAAAAGTGAAACCAAAGTGACATTTTCTACCCTTTTATTATTAGTTTGACTCAGATTAAGTGAGCTACAATTAAAAAAAAAAAAAAAAAAAAAAAAAAAAAAAAGTAAGTTTAGAGTAAGATTATGAGTAAAAACCATACTTTAGACCAATCAACACTGAATGTTGATTATTTAATTCTTACAAACTGCTCAAGACTGGTTTCTGAAATTAGAAAAAACAACTGAATTAAGTCCAATAATAATAAAAGTAAGAAATCGGTATAGATACCAAAAAAAAAAAAAATAGTTCCTAGGATGGTCCAGGGAATAGAAGCAAGATTTAGATGAGGCTTGCAAACCAAACCAGATGCTAGGAAACAAGTATACACTAGGGAAGACAAAGAACTAGAACAGTTGAAATAAACAAAGTTCATCCAAGAATGATCAAAAAATAGTCTTGTGTAAGGTTACACTGGAAAATTAAAGAAGGGTTCTAATTGCCAGAGATACAAGATAGCAGCTTAACTACTTCTAAGATATAACTTTATAAGTTTGTAAAAGGAATTATACAATGTGGCTGTCAGCAACAGCAGGCAGCTGGTACCCAGGAAGTTCTAGATGCTCCCTAGCTGTTCCCCATTACCCAGGACATCCCTTCTTATCTCATGCCCTTATAAAACAGAGGTCTATTATCACTGATATTCCATAAACAGAAAAAGAAACTAAATTTGTCAAATGCTTTTTAGAAGTAAATTATCCACCACAAATAATTCAATAACTTATGTAGTGAATGGAATTCATCTAATATTGATTAATTCTCTTAGTAGAACAAAATTAAGGGTTTGTAGTTAAGCACTCCAAGGACATGCATCAGACTATCAGAGAATGTTTAATAAATTCCATGGCATCAAGATTTTGCAGTTTTCATTTTTTTGCAGTTTGACCAAAAATTGCATACATAAGATGACTTTGTTTTCAATCAAATTTTTGCTCAACCACAAAAGAGATGGAAAAAAAAAAAAAAAAAAAAAAAAAGTACTTTTTTTCAGGCTATGAATTTGAAAGATCACTTTCGAATGGAAGCAATAGCAGAATTGAGGAGGATAAACTGGGATCAGAGATGAATGTTGAAGATTAATAAAGAGTCTGTCATCACACCTGTAGCTTTGTCATAGCTTCCTACATATTTGCTAAATAGGAAAACTGAGCTACAGGTTTTGATTTTTGTTGTTTGGTTGGTTTAGTTTGTTTTTTTGTTTTTTTTTTTCTAGTTCAATGCTTAGCTGTACTTAATTGATAGAAGAGTTTTTAAGGGAAGATTTTATTTTATTGTTCTTCATTTTCTTTCTGATTTGGGT